AGCTTGAGAATGTTTTGTAACAGAAATCAGCTGTAACACGGAATTTTCACTTCAAATTGATATGCCCAAAAAATTTATTTTTAAGAATACAGTTGCACTTTGTAACTGTATTAACATACAACCTCTAAGCTGGTCCAGGTTAAATGAGGTCAATTTATTGTTGATCTGCTACAGTCTGCACCTTCATTTCCGGTACAACCTAGTCGAAACTTTATACCTGAAGTTTTCAGGTACTGGTGCCAACGAGTGTCTACAAGACAGAAACTGCCTATAACAGCTTCATTTCCACATAAAGTTTTAAAAGCTATTCAAGACATGTAAGCAATTAGTCTTCGATGAAAAAAATACAATTTTCTCTGCTTCTAGCAAAAACGAGTAATTTTTTTAAACTACACGTTTTTTGAGTGTTTGAATTAACAGACTCGAGAATTTCAGTTTTTTCCTATATTCCTTTCACTCAGTGAAATATTCAAACAGATTTATTCTAATTCGTGCTAATAAGATTATACTGTTCTTCCCTCAATAACTAGTTTTGGAAAACTTGTATATTTGGAATCCTACATGTATACAAGAAAAACTTTGAAACTATGATCTATCTTGTTCAAAATTTTTTATTTCTAAAGAAGCACTACGAAGTTTTACGAGAATTTATCCGCCAGAACACCCCTAAAAAGAGGAAAAATTTAGAACATATAGTTTAAATCTGAGCTTCTCAACTCTTTCCCTTTCGCATCTCTCTTAAAGAAAAACCCTTATCACCTTCTAGCAAAAATCCCTTCTTCCTTCCCTTAGTCGTCACAACTCTTTCCTGCTTACTTCCACAGGAAAATCCAGTCTAGCGTAAAAATATGCCAAGTATTCCTCTAGAAAAGTACATTGAGCACATAAGATGACTGTTTTACCAATTCATAACTCGACTTTTAATATAATCTTATCCTTAATAGAATGGAAGCAATCCATATAAACACAACTTCCTTTATCCCTTTTAGTTGTTGAGAAAACACTTATAGAGTACACCTTTTCTTAGGCACCTACAAAAGCGTACACTTTATATACATATTTTTCTACCATCAGTTAAATTTCTATGTACTAATATTGTTACGGTGTTTTTCCAGCACCATTTTACGTTTCATTTCAGTTTTCTAGGCGGATGTTCAAAGTGAAAACAACAAAAATTGAACCATTAAATTTGCCAATAAGCCTAATAGTTCATAATCTATAAACTTTTACGCTGAAAGAGTTCGATATTTGAATATTTTGTTGCCCTTGGAAATTTGAAAAGTGCTTAACAGTCATTTTTTTATTTCCGACTGCCTAAGTAGTCCTAACATTTTTTAAGATTTACAATCGTCTAAATTCTTTTTTAAAACTGGCTTATTAAATTCTAGAAATAGTAAAGCACAACTATGGCCGATTTTTTAAGCAGATGAAGCGCTAATTTTAAAAAGTGCACAACGCTAAAAAAAACAGTCTAGTTTGAGCTCAATTTTCACCGGCACGATAAATGTGACTTGTGAACATAATGCGGAAAGTTCCCAATCAAACTTGAACAAATTTCTTTACACTAAATTTATTGCTCGAAAAATTTGTTTATTACACCTATCTGCGTAAATGATACTAACTAATTTTATCCTGCCTGCTTGATTTTAATTTACAGTGAACAAATTTTATCGTTAAAAAGTACCTAAAAGCGCTTTTGTTTGGCTTGAAGAGTCTTAAGACTTTCAAAACTAGCTCTTCAAGGTTAACAATTCAAAGATGTTCAAATCTACAGAGGGGCGGATTTACAAAACAAATAAACCACAGAGACGTTCTATCTCCTTCACTGGTAGCATTCCGAATAAATTAAAGACCTCTTTGCATATTTTTATTGTTTGGTGAAGGTGATTTGAAACTAGGAAAAAAATCACCGTAAAGTAATATTAATTCTTTCAAAGACGCACACATGCTGAAAAGAGTGTGTATAACATAATAATTACAACAATCTTGCACCTTTTTCAGTGGCGTTGGTCAGAATGAAATAGCGGTTTAAAATCTTGCTTTCAAAAATTCATTCCAAAAAAAACTTTGTTCTGCTGTTCTAAGTCAGAATGATAATCTTTAACATGTTTTAGAATTAACCGCATTTGATATTAAGCAATAGTCGCTTTAAAGATCTACGAATTGCCGTTAAACTTCAGAATCGTATGGTCTGAGACACTGTAGTCAAGCTTAGCGTTAACAGGCAGAGGAAACTTTTTTGTACAACATGTAAACCTATTCTGGAAGCTTACGACTGCTGATGGTCTGAGATAACTTATCTTGGAAATCACACCAGTAGAGACTTTCCCGTCAGAAAAACCTCATATCAGTAAACTTACGTCTGGATAGAATCTTTTTGCTAACTAGTTTCCTTTCCTCTTCTTTGATTTGCTACCATTTCCACTTCAGACAAAGAGAGTGTAAAATTAAATGACTAAAGACATTGAAAACTTTAACTTTTAGTGAAACGTGGTGGAGAGATTCTTCCGAATGAAGCATAAAAGCGCACCATTAAAACAGAGTCCAATATATCCCATTCAGTGATAGAAAGCATGAAATACTATATACGTATATAAAATCTTTGCGATCGTCCCTCGCGCCAACGGTGAGCCATCGCAGACTGATTCTTTAAAATCATAGATCATCTAAGATTTTTAGGTGCCACTATGTTACAAAATAAAACATGTTCTTTATGACCGGAACTATGGGTTCTGACTCACCAGTCTAAATAGTGTTCATTTCTTGCAAATTTTTCTATGGCCAGCGTACGCTTTAACTTCTTGATAATTTATTAAATATCCTTTTATGACTTTTGAACCCTTATATTTCAGCCGTTCTGCATAACAGCGTTAAGAAAAACTTCAATCTTCAACAAACGGTAACGTAATTGCCGGTGGGTAAGGTAAGGTGATGTTTAGAGCTGCTAATAATTCTTCAAGTTGTAATGCTTTTCAGTAGTTCCCGCAAGAGATTCTTTTGAAAACAACATATGAAGCACTGTAGTTCACAAACTATCATGTCTAACTTTAGGCTCCAGAAAACCGTCTCTAACAAAAACAACACAAAAAAAGCTCAGCGATAAATTGACTTACTTCTCTGTTAACTTCTAATGCCAATCACTAGTATCCTGTCACATAATTCTTTATCGCATTCGTTCCAGGGTTCGTCTAGCAACTTTTCGTTTCTTCGTAAAATGCGCGCTCTTTCTTTTCAGCTGTACCAGTAAAGTGGTCATAAATAAGAAGTTTTCTTATTCATCGGCGAAATCGTTGTCCGGTCCACACGCTGTTAGCAGTGCCAACAGCAGCACTCCACATACAGTAAAGTATGGTATTAGCAGCCCCTGCAACACGGCATAACCGGCGCTGGCTCGCAGAAAACCCCACAGAAAACTTGTTTTGTGCGGTTGCAGCTTCTGTAGACAGCAACGAAACCTATGGCCATGACTGACCAAGTCCAAAGTCCTGCAAGATGTGCGTACCGGTCTGTCCATCCCGAAGCAGAACCAAACGTCGCCGAGCGCAGTCTGCAAGGGCAACAGAAGTGGAGTCAGCTGCTCAACAGCTCGGCACCGCAACGTCAAAAACAAATCCTGCACTTTCATGTACCTTTATTAGGGTAACCTCTATTTCCTCGTAAAACAACCATCTGACCAGAGCCACACGCCATCTTCCCGCAGTTTGCAAACTTACGTACCACTTCCTTGTTGCGACGAATGAATCAACAACATACTAATTGAAATTAAACAGTTCCTTTCAAGATATTTACAAACCCACAAACAACTAACGAGTCATCGACAGTAGGTTTAGAACGACTTCCTTACACAAAACCGAACTACAATTTTCCTTTCCGTCAAAACAATAGCTGAATTTAAAAATGCAATTTGCAATATAAGCGTGACACATATCTTTCAATCTTTAAAAACACATCGGGTAGTAAGTTCATATTTATAGTAATTTGACTTGCAAATTCAATTGTTCTAAAAAAATGCGTTACTTCTTGAAGATGCATATTTTCTACTCAGTCCTGAAGAAATTGCGGCTGAAGAGCAAAATGAAATCCCTTTGCAACATATAATTAACTTTTATCTAACCGTTGAGACTTACAAATATTTATAAAAAGAAAAGAATTTGTGCACATAACGATACCCTTAAAGCGCTTTTTGGCCTAGCACTGATTCTATCAGAAAACTAAGTTTGGACCGCCGTTTAGCCACTTCCTTCTGATCCATACTTGCCCTTTCTTTCCGTTCCAGTTTATAAACAAAATCCCAATCATCTTCCTTCCCTTCCCTGTAAAAAGATATTTTTCAAAATAAATAGTACGCTTACTGTGTCTACTAAAACAAATTAGCTCCATAAAACCTTGAAAAAAAA